GTGTGTGTGTGTGTGTGTGTGTGTGTGTGTGTGTGTGTGTGTGTGTGTGTGTGTGTGTGTATGTAGCTAGGTGAACAGGAATGCATTTTTAATGGCTAATTTAATTAATTAATATTTAATAATAAATCAATGGTTTATATGAATTATTTAATTGTTTATATTTTTAAATAAATCTATTTAAATATAATAAAGGATAATAAGGTATAGTAATAATAAAATTATCAATACAGTATATGTTATAATTATACACACAACAATGCCATAGTTGGAATTTTGTGGTTTATAGTGAAAAACAAGGTTTGTTTATTTATAATCATTTACAATTACAAATAAAGATAATGATATATTGTATTTATTAATATTTTTCAATGTCATAAAAATACAACTGTCCATTGTTAGTTCATTTCAGCTCTTTATTAACATTAAATATTAACAGACGCAAGTTTTGATTTTAATGTACTAATGTATTTTATTTTTAATGTACTAATATAATTTTTATTAGTTCACGTTTACTAATGTAGTAAATCAAAACTAATGAATTTGTTACCATTATATGTAAAATAAGTGTTGTATGTATATCAATTGGCCATTAAATATTTTTATTAATTAGTGCATTATAAATAGTATAAACATTTGACAGAAACTTTTCATTTGCAGTCTTTGTATTGTAGAATTTAGCAATTGTCTTGTATGAAATATCAGCTATATGTGAAACACACTATTAATTGTAATAATGATCAAAATCACCAGAAGACTGCAGTAAAATCAATAATTATAGCAGTAAAACATCTTTATTGCATTATTATATATTAATATAATATTTAGTTTTTTTGGCGAGCCAGAATTTATTGTCAGCATTAATATCAGCCGCGTGCCTAATACCATAACTGCAGGTGAAGCATAATAAAAGTGTGTGTTAGAGTGATGTCTCGTGTTTTAGTTGGTCATCACAGCTAGGCCTGTCGCGATAATTAAATAACCGTCTAATCGCGATTATTTGATCTAACCTGATTATTGTGCTTTTTATACGAGACACGGGTCATACACCAACAGAAACAGAAGAGCACCAGTTTGCTTTTCATGCACTGTAAAGCCTATACAGGGCTCCAGACTCATTCTTCCTACTGGTCGCTCTTTTGCAACTAACTTTCTCAGCTGGCCGCATGAGCACATGATTTGGTCACGATATTTTTTTTTTTTTTTGCACTACAATTTGGGATTATTCAATGCATGCTGATGAACTTTTATCATAGTTTATAGTTATTTGGAAACGAAAGTGGTTAACATTCAACCCGTTCTTTATCATCAGTAGTATTATTTGTGATTTAAATTTTCTTTCTCTTTTGCTATGTTAAGACGCGGGCTTCGGATGCTTTCACTTTCGAATTCGCGATCTTGTTGTCACTGTTTTGCATACATACATCTACACACCTTTCATTTTTTAAGACTAAAACAAAAGATGGATTCATTGTTTTTCTTAATTAAAAAGCACAACAATAATAAATCAGTAAGAACGAATAATATGAGGCATGGCACAGAGAGCCTCCATAGCGTAATGTGAGGTAAACAGCAAAGTTAACAAGTTTTTCAAAAATGAAAACAAAAAGAAAAGTAAAACTAACGGTGACAGTGCTTGCATGTTTTTTTCCCCACAAGAATACCAGCATGTTCACCTTCTCTGGTTTAAGAAGCGGTTCTTTACTTGACTTTCGCTTGAAA